AAAAAAAAATATAAAATATAGAGATCTCATATAGACATTCCTTGGTACCTGGCTGGAGGTAGAATTTCCAAGGAACACCAATCAAAATGTGATTTTTTTTTTGTTTATTTGTACTGTGTTATTCCTTGATGTATAAAAACTAATAATAATAGTAATAGTAACAACAATAGAAAAATTGTGTACCTCTGTGGGACCACATCCTTGTTTAATGAGCGCTCTTCATTTAAGCAAAAATGAAGTATATACTTTTAATACAAACACTGAAAACCTTTTTATTTTCGTGTAGAATCTGCCAGTCATGTCCCATAACAGCTTAGATTATCTTTGGCTTCCTGCCCTTTGTTCCCCCCTCTTCTTCTGCCAACACTTTAGTTAAGTAGAGGCCTCTGTCTTTTATTTTATTTTATTTAAATTTATTTTAAGATTTAAGGAAGAAAATAAATGGCTACATAAAAGAAAAAAAAAGAAGAAAACAAGGTCTTTGTCTTTTAACAGACAAGCTGTAGTCCTGCAATATGAAATGGTTATGTTGATGTGTGTAGATGATAGTCTTTCCAATGAAAAACATTTTCATTATCTAGTTGTTGAGTACCTTTTAGATTAGCTGGAATGCAACATTGATTGCTTCGCCCAGAATTTGCCCTCTAGGAAAGATAGCATTTTGGCTTTCGATGCATTGTCCCACAAAAAAGGGACAGCAGAAGCGACCTTGAGGATGACCTTCTCTGCTGTTCTCTTGAGAACCAAAGGTGCTACTTGACTCAAGGTAACACTAGGAGACTGTTACCCAGAGGTAGCTCAAGTTGTATTTTTTATGTAACTTAGCACCCATCTAGTGTCTTCTGCTTTGCATCCTTGGTTATCCTATGTTTCCCTTCTGTAAAACAGCTCGGACATGGAAGATTCTGAGCTTTGTGGTGGCACTTCCTGGAGTAGCCATCTGCTGGGTGAATGTGCAGCTGAAAAAGAAAGAGCATTCGCATGAACGTCCTGAGTTCATTGCATATCCCCACCTGAGGCTTCGAACAAAGGTAAAGATGTAGCAGGAATAGGAATGTAATTGGTTAGGCCCTTCATCTTGATTTTTGAAGGGCTTCTTGCTTCTGAGGCTAATAATACAGTCAAGAGTAGATGTTCTCCCAATGTTCCAGTCCTCCAAGTTAGGTTGGTGACAATTACTGACAACTTTTTGGTCCTAAATCTTCACCTTCTGGAGCTTTGCAGTGGAACACTCACAAGGGACCCTAACTTTTGTAGCACTTAGTGAAAGGCCCTTTTCTTTTTCCTGGTTTGCTGAATGATTTCATATGCTCAATTGCTGGTTTACATCTTGCTTTGCTATGATGGTTTTTAAATTAATGTACTGACATTTAAGCAATTGTGGATAAGGGGAAATAGATACCTAAAACAAGATCCAGGGGTAGGTACAAGATGGATGGATTTGTGGCACAGCATTCATGAGGGGTTGTCAAATAAGCCATGAGGGGTTGTCAAAAAGCAGCCATGACCACAATTGAAGGTCCACCCTTTTTAAATATTCATCACATGTGTGACATACATTAAAAAGGGTGGGACCTCCATCAGGTGATCATGGTCGTGTGCTTCCTTTCTGTATTCCTTCTCTCTCTTTTATTTTAGGCTTACCCGTGGGGTGATGGAAATCACTCTCTCTTTCACAATCCCCGCACCAACCCACTGCCCACTGGTTATGAAGACGTCTGACAGCCATCACTGAACTCCTTTTCTTCTTCTTCTTCTTCCTAGCTTCCTCTCTGCTAGTGAGGAGAAAGAGTTACAGATGTTTAATGCATCTATGAGACAGATTTCTATGTCTGGAGTCAATAAAATGCATTTCAATGAATGTAGCACCTTCCTGATATTTTACAGGGTTTTATAGGTAGTTCTACCAAACTGCCATATTTTGAGTATAAAAGAGCATTTGTCCAGGACTTCTGGGTTCTGCTGAAGAAGATGCAAAATCCCTTTCACCAGAAAGCTGATTGCTACTGAAAGAAATGGAGCTTTGGGGCCACTTCCATTTTCATTCTGTTTCCATGCCCCAAACCTTCGCAAACCACTACAAAGCCCATCTTTATTTACTTCTTTTGACCTCAAAGGCAGAGAAGATAATGTGCCAATCTATTCTCCTCCAGCTGACTAACAGGAGAGAGAAAAAGTGAGGCTTCCTCATCGTCCTGTCCCAGAGTGAAAAACGCCCCCTTACATACTACACACAGGTGTGCACACATGCGCAGACACACACACACACACACACACACACAAGAGCAGTTTCCTTCCCATGCATTTAGAACATTTTACCTGCATTTGTCTTGCCATCTACAGTGTAAATATACTAAGGCATGCAGTTGGTGTATGGAAAGGAAAACCTCCCTATAAACAGATAAACAGATTCTGTTTCTCCTTTTTAAAAAAAAAAAAAAAAAGCTGCTGGCAGTGATGAGGAAAGTGTAGCATGGAGGCCTTTTTGTAACCAGGTGTTTTTCCACTACTTTTAACCATTTATTTATTAATGTATTTATTTAAATTTATATGGCTGCCTCCCTCAAAGACATGACTCTGGGCAGCTAACAATATTAAAAACAGGTAAAAACATATACAAAAAAATAAAACACACAGCAGCTGGGAAAAACCACAAAAACTACAGTGAGCACAACCAGGAAACGGGCTCCCTCATGCACTGGGGGCCCCAGGCTTGAACGCAGAACCAGGTCTTCGGGGCCTTACGAAAGGCCAGCAGGGTTGGGGCCGATCTGATCTCTGGAGGGGTGGCATTCCAGAGGGCAGGTGTCACTCTCCTTCTGGGCCCCACCAGCTGGCACGCCTTAGCTGGCAGTATCCAGAGCATGCCCCTCTTGCCGGATCGAATAGGATGGGTAGAGACAACCGAAGAGAGACGGTCCCGTAAGTAACCTGGCCCCAAGCCACGTAGGGCTTTAAAGGTAACTACCAGCACCTTGAATGGCACCTGGAAGCAAACTGGTAGCCAATACAATTCGCTGAGCAGTGGGGTCACGTGTACCGAATAACTCATGCCATTAACTGTCCGCATCACCACATTCTGCACCAGCTGAAGCTTCTGAATGCTCTTCAAGGGCAGCCCCACGTAGAACCTTTTGCAGGAGTCCAGTCAGGAAGTCATCAGGACATGAGTGACCCTAAGCAGGGCCTCCTGGTCCAGGAAGAGGTGCGACTGATGCACAACCCAAAGCTGGGCAAAGACCCTCATAGCCATGGCTGCCACCTGCTCTTCAGGCTGGAGAAGTGAGTCCAGAAGGACCTCCAGATTGTGTACCGCTTCTGTCTGAGGCAGTGCTGCCCCATTGTAATGGTATGTGAGAATGACCTTGGGAGACAGGAGGAAGAGCCACAGGCTAGACAACGGTCAGACAAGAGGCAGCTGAGTCCACAGAAGAAATGTGGGTGTGGCAAACATCTCAGAAGGGACCCTCCCTAGTTTCTTGGGCCGTAAAGGCAAGAGGGGAGAGATGGACTTTCAGACTTGCAAGATTCCGCTAATGTAACCTTACAATAAAGTTAGAGCTAGGACTTCTGGGTGTGCTTCTTGTGTGGACTACCTTGCAAGGCTGCCACCCATCCAGAACCATGGTTGTAGACTGCTGAACAGAGTCTCTGTGTATGAAGTGGTGACCAGAAACACTAAGATTGGGTTTGCTGATATGACTGCCCATATCACAGTTTTTAGATGTTGATCAGGACTTTTATGCACCTAATGCTAGCAGGCAAGAACAGATCACCCACAAGTCCCAGGGTTGGAAAAATCTTCAGGTTTGCTCCAGTCTGAAATAACCCAGTGCAAAGAAAGAAAAGCAGGAACTCAGCCCTGCAACAAGCAAATGTTATGGTGTGCTTCCTTTCAAAACTGCTTATGTTTGCAACACATAACAGTAACTAAAAAAAAAAGCTCACATTTGTGGCTATTTTTTTTTAATCCATTCAATCGTGTCCAATTCTCTGCCTGGACAAGTCCCTGCAGTTTTCTTGGCAAGCTTTTTCAGAAGTGGTTTGCCCTTGCCTCCTTCCTAGGGCTGAGAGAGAGTGACTGGCCCAAGGTCCCCCAGCTGGCTTCGTGCTCAGGCAGGACTAGAACTCAGGGTCCCCCAGTTTCCAGCCTGCAGCCTTAACCACTACACCAAACTGGCTCTCACATAATGGTAACCAAAAAAAAAATTAAAAAGCTCACATTTGTGGCTATGATACACATACTAATCCATGTTTCCAAAGATTTCCAGGGAAGGGATAAAAAGTCAAGATGGAGGAGGTCATGATCATGTGATTGAAGCCCCACCCCTTTTTAGGAGCATCATAAAAGGGGCGAGGTTTTGACCATGTGATTGTGGACACTATCTTGACTTTTTGATGCTCCCCCCCATTCATTCCCCTGATTGCGACTGAGGAGTGTAACCAATAAATAAGCGATCAAATAAAATGTAAAACTACCTATTCCTGATGCCATGTAAAATGGACAACGGAAGGAATGGATGAATTTGTTAATTTCAGTTTTCCTCAACTTGTCATATTTGCAAATCAATCACTTTGCTTAATCAAACTTGAGAGTTTTTTTAAAGGAAGTTTACATTAAAATTCATATTTATTTGGTGCATATTGCCTCAAATTATGGATTTTTCTGTGTCATGTTGCCTAATATACCTAGTTTTTGCAAACAATTGCCTATGATATAGCACCTCTTTGCATTATATTGCATTTCCCTGAATATATGTGTTTCGTAAAGTCTTATCTCTATTATATATTTTAATTAGCAAACTGCATGCAAAATTCAGAGAACTGTGAAGTTTTAATAATTGGATAAGTCTGCATTTAAACACGAATGAAACATTTCTCCTTTCTTTAGCATAAGCTTGATTTTGCTCCTCACCAGGACAGAGGGACCAGAACCTTATCCACAATATGCATATTTCCCCACAAAACACTTGCTTACAAAAGAATGTGACCTGCTATATTTCATTCCATTCCCAATGGGATCCTGCAGCTGGATGAAGTTTCTCAATGTGACCATAAATATCAAACATGGGAATAGGTGAGTTTACTAGCCTGCCATTTACTACCATTAAAGCTCCTTTTGTACAGGAAATGAACATCTCAGGTACATGCTGGAGCAGTTCTCTCTTCTTCAGCGCACGACGACCCATCTAACAGTCAGAATGCTAAAAGAAGAGTCTGTAGCAAAGGTATGGATAAGGGAGTTGGTTATCCTTTAGTAGCAGCGGAAGGGGTGCTGGTGTCTGGTGGATTTCCAGCTCCCTCGTTTTCTCCTGCTCCTGCCTCATCAATCATCTGTTTATACTGTCTTTTGAAGAATCCAAGCTGGAAGGAAAAAAGAAAGAAAAGTCAGGTGAGCATTGAGTAATAATGGTTGGTTACAAATTAGATAGACACCAGCTCTGAAAAGCTCTCCAACCTAGGGGAATCCACAAACCGATTGGTTTATTGTAAGATTGAAGGATGGACAATGATGGACATCCTTCACTAAATTAATAGATTTTTTTGTCTCTACCCAAGATGCCTCTATCTTGATGGCCTTGGCAGAACCACTTGCATAACTTGATAATGCTGTCCCCTAAGCAGGAGGCAAGCTGAGACCTAAAATGTTCACTGCAGGCCATTTTCTCTTTAAGGCTTACCTTATAGAGACCAGCAACAATTAGAACAAAGAGGACAAGGCCGCCCACACTGCTGCCAATAATGATGGGCAGGTAGTTGTAGGGCTCCAAGAACTCCACTGTGGTCTTCACCTAGAGGGGAGGAAGGACTGGATCATACAAGGGAAGCCAGAATCCTTTTATTACAGCTTTCTCCTTCCATACCTACTACTGTACTTATCTTCCAATGGATCCAGAAGTTCTCATTCAAATCAAATCAAATCAAATCAAATCAAATCAAATCAAATCAAATCAAATCAAATCAAATCAAATCAAATCAAATCAAATCAAATCAAATCAAATCAAATCAAATCAAATCAAATCAAATCAAATCAAATCAAATCAAATCAAATCAAATCAAATCAAATCAAATCAAATCAAATCAAATCAAATCAAATCAAATCAAATCAAATCAAATCAAATCAAATCAAATCAAATCAAATCAAATCAAATCTTTATTATGGTCAAAGACCAGCCTAGAGAAGTTCTGATTACAACCATTAGTTATGCACTGGAGGAAGGTAGTCATTACCTGGTTCTGCACAAAGCCCTCTTTCTGCTTGTATTTGTTCTTATCGTAGGAAATTTGGGCAGAGCTCACTAAAGTCACTTTCTTCTGCTGGATCTGAAAGAAGACATAAACTAACTCAGAGGTGGGAGAGCTGGTTGCCTGAAAGGTTTCACCAGAGAGGGGACAGTAGGAATTACTGGTATTAATGGAAATGTTGTTCTGTGGGCACAGATATGCAGGTGACCATTGGCATATCTTCACTTATATCCCACCAATTTAATCCCATTCAGTTACCACAATATCCATGAAAGTATCCCATGAATTATCATTTGATGAAGGTGATCGTAACCGTGTGGAAAGTTTTCACCATTATACGTTATAGAGCAATTCCGTACGCAGGAGCTTTTGGCCTGAAATCAGCACTGTGTTCCTATGTCCCTATGATGCTTTGGCACTTCTGTTGGTCTCCACAAACTAAGCCAAAGAATTTTGGCTCAGCAGTTCCTCCACAGGAAAGACAATACGAAGACAATTTTGCAGGATTTCTTCTGGAGCTGAGAAGTAGGCAGTTTCCCACTAGTAAGAACTGGTGCTTTGTCCTACTTCCCCAGAGGTTGCTTCTCTACTTGAAGCGAAGGTATTGTGATGTCTTCACCTCATCCTTCCTTGTTGCTCTGAAGGTAGGCTTTACCACTTCCATATATTGGCCAGTTGTTTTTGTTTTTCGTTTCCTCACCACAAACGTGATGAAGGAAAAATGAGGATGAGATCCAAGAGACACCTGTGTTTTTCTATCATGGGCCAGATCAAGGTAGCACTGGTCAGCTCAGTGGAAAGAGCAGTTAGGGAATACATATGGTAGTGAAGCCAATGCCTATGGGGAAATGCCCCTAGTGCAAACATGCCCTAAAACACAATTGATTTTCTATATGTGTGATGGTGTGTTATTATACCACAAAAGAGACATTCCTGTCCTGCCCTCTAACCCAATAAAGCCCCAGCAGATGCCTCCATACCTGGGAAAACAACTTGAAGTCAATGTCCCCCTTGATCTTGAACTCAATAGGTTGTTGGAGCTCCAAGGATGGAATATTGCAAGTGATTGTTTTACAGGTGGCTACAGAGCAGTCCTGGAAGACACGGAAGAATACTGTCAAGTCTGGTCATAGGAATGTTGAGACTGTGTATGGATTTCCTGTGACCAAGGGGGCAGCCCATGCGGTCACCATTTATGCAGAGCCCCCAACTCCATCTGTTTTTTAAAAGGAGATTTCTGGCTACGGCATGAGGTATACTCACCAGAACAGGTTGTTTGCTTAGCTGCTTCACAAACTCTTTGGATCCTGGAGTATCTTTTCTAGGGGTACAAATAACCTGGGGAAACTGTTGAACAAAAGAAGAAACAATCTCAGATTCAGGAGAGATTATAAGAGACCCTATTTCTGAGCTTGAAAAACAAGTCATGGGAGAGCTTGGATTTTGTAATGCTTATCTTTTCAACAATGAACCCCTTAGAGCTAAGTGGGGATGCTGATTTGAGGTTTAGAGCATGTCCAATAGGTATTTAACGTAAGTCTCTTAAGTACACTGAGAGTGAATGAAAGGAGGAAACAAAAAGAACTGCTTGAAAGCATCTCTCCTACTTTGATGATGGTGGAAGGTTCTTACCAATCTCTATTCATTTATTGTGAGCATGGAACAAGCAACTAATAGGATTCCTGGTGAAGAATACTCTTCTTGGATCAGACCAATCAACCAGCAATGGTTTATTTCCAGCAATGGCCATCTAGATACTCCTGGAGAACTTGCAAGGATTGACTAGGCTGTGTTGTTTGTTCCCAGCTTGGACTCAGAAACACTGCCTCTAACCATGAAGGTTCTGTTTACTGCTCATGGTCACTGGCCTGATTATCCCTCACAAATTGTGTTCTAACTCCATCTTCGTCCCTGACTAAATGTTGACATGGACAAAAATTCCGAATTTATGTGTTCTGCATAAAGATGGTCATATGTGCCAATTTGTTTACAATCCTGCCAATATAGTCTAGAAAAATTATCCTTGATTTGATGGAATTCTAGCAAAGAGCACCATTACTTACAAACTACACTTTCATCTTTGTGGTCAATTCCTGATGAGTTGCTGCTCAAATAGTTCAAGATTCTCTTGGTATTAAATAAAGTATATTAATGAGATCTAGATATCTTAGAAAGTAATAATTAAACTTTACTCTGAAACCTGAGGCCATTTCTTTTGCAAAATATATTCAGCCATTAACCAGATTTGTCTTTATGATTAAGTATCTATAATTATATAAAAATATGTATCGCTCACTCTTTTTTATTAAACATACTTGTCTTCTTAAAAAGAAAGAAATATTAAGGAATGGATGAAGAGGAGAAAGATCCAATGTGGCATTTCCCCCCAACATTTCCAAACTTCTAAAATGAATTTGAAATATGGATTTTAAATCTTAGATATTAATTCACCATTAAGGGAGGAATACTTGCTTAGCCAGTAAGAAATGTATTGCTAACTCAGTTTATACCTATTGAACATTATTTGTTCTTCAAATAATATGAATGCCTTTGGTAAAAAAAAACACACATCAAAATAATGTTTCAAATTAGATGTGCCTAAACCTCCCATCATGCTCTTCTTTTGTTAACTTGAATTCCCCACTCAACACTTTATTGTGTGATCTGGAATTTAGTGGATGGATTTCTTGCTGCACAATTTTGCTACACCAGTACTTATTTAGTTCCACTCCTGCAGGACAAGCAATTATATTCTCCTCCACCCAACTCCAGAGGAAATATACCTCTGAAGGGACAACCAAGGATGCGTTCCAAATCCACATCTCATTCAGCAATGTAGGAAACTGAAATGTTACTTCAACAGGAACTTTTCGATGATACGTGTTCTTCACCTATATTGGAGAAAAATGCTGTGTAAGTGAGCAGACACTCAGCATTCCTAGCCCTCAGTCAATACAGAACGTTTATAGGGGTGGGTCCCAGCTTGTATCCAGATACAGGAGGTACAATCCGGCCCTTGAAATCTCTTCTTTATTCATGTTCCCAGGATCCCACATTTTCCCCAGCCCCTGAGTGAATCTGACTTAAGTCCTTCTTAGCTGTATTCATGTAAAAATAGTAATCTTCTGACCAAGGCATCTTGAAGAGGTATAAAATCTGTTGCTACTAACTTGGAGGGAAGTCAGAGAGCTGGAATAACTGAGAGCAAAGGCAACAAAAGCCGGAGGAGGATCAACAATGGGGACACTAAACTTCATGCCAATATATTTTTCTGCCAGTTCAAGGATGGAGGGAGAGTACTTAAACTCAACGGTGGGGAAAGTTCTCTAGAAAACCGATGACTAGCAATTTTTCAGTAGTGGAAAGGACCTAAGATACATTTTTCTTGCTTGCAAATGCTTCTTAAAGTAAGAATGCATTCCTCACTAGGTGAATGAGCCCCATTCTCCTGCAATATAGCTCAAAAGGCCGTCTTCCTCCACCTTAACGAGTAAACCCCCGTCTGTTCTAAGTTCTTGATCACAAAGCTATCCACATCCCTTTCACCTTGTATCGATGTTCCACAACCCGAGTTTCATCTTCCTGGCCAGCAGAAAAATTAACATACTTAGTTGACTCATCCAAACTGGAAAAGAAATGGTGAAAGATTGAGAAAAAACACATTATGTGTTCCACTAATTCCTTAGCTATGTAAACCAAGAAAAAATGGGCAGGAAATACCTCATTTAGACAGAAGGAAAGGGCAGGAGAAGATACTTCAAGGAGATATACTGTATTATTGTATCTCCAGCAATTTTTGGAATATGAATTATTGATTTTGGCAATCAGCAGTGAAGTAGTATACTAGCGAAAAAAATACTGTACCCATTTTCTCTAGGTGTAATAACCACAGTAAATCTAATGTCTTCCATTGGTATTCCCATTGTTGCATATCAAGTGTCCTGATTAAATTCCGTATCCATTTAATCACATCATCTTTGACTTATTCAGTTGTTGAATCATAATGGAGTAACTTACAAATAATTCCAATGGACATTCTAAGTTTTAGAGCACTTCAGAGCCCTTTGAGAGAAGGTTAGGCAGTGGGAAGCCTTTGTTCTCAAATACTTGTAGCTACTTACGCATTGATGAAAACATAGATTGCATATTTGACAGGCAGCTCCGCTTGATGAACCATGTCCTTTGTGATGGTGACATCATTTTCACTGGGGAAAAAAGGAAGGATGGGCAGAGTAACAAACATATCACACATGCCACTCTCTTAAGTATAATTTGTCCCCCCCATCATATTACATTCAGCATCATCTGATATAAACATTAAGAACCTCTTTCCAATGAAGCTATATTTATTTAAGGGACATTTGCACAACAGGAAATTTCTTATATTTAAAGAAGACACATTGAAGTCAATGGAATTTATGTTAGTTATAGCCATGGAATTTGCTACTATTGGTTGTGATAATGGCGGCCAGTTTAGATGGGTTTCAAAGGAGGCTCAACAGGCTGATGGAGAATCAAGCTCTCAATGGTTATTAATATTGATGGCTATTGACCTCCTTCTGAATCAGAGGCAGCAGGTCCTAAATCTTGGTGGCTGGGAAGTGACAATGGAAGGTGCACTCACTCTTCTGTCTAGGTTTGTGAACTTCCCAGATACATCCAGCTGAGCACTGTGTGACCACCAAGGCTCCTCTTATGAATTTAGTATCTTCTTATGTTATTGTCATTATTGCTTTATGGGCACGGCAGTTGTGGGATGACCCTAGAAAACTCTGTAAGTTGCTAGTGGAAAAATGACTGCTAATCTGCATATGAGAACATTTGCACTTCAGTCATGAGAAGCTTTACCTGGCAGCTGTGGCATTGATTTGTACCACACTTCCTAGATTTGCATCTTGAGAAACAGAAAAGGTAACAATGAAGATCACCTGAACAGAAGGAGACACAAAAGAATGAGAGGGCCCAGGATGTTTAAAGCAGAGCTGTGTTATACATTCAATCCAGTTTTATGCTTCATTAATAATTATAACGGAAATGACTTCTCCCCAGAAACGTTGGCGATGAGAAACTTGGAAACTTCTCAGTCATTGTCCCAGCTCTCTCAAGGAACTACAATGGCCAGAGTTTTGGGGTGGGAGCAATGACCATAAACCTTTGTGCAAGATAAATTTTAGAGCCAAATTCGTACACAATTATTTATTGTGAAATAATTCTTTGAACTCACAACTAGATCAGAAACAAAGCATTCTCATCTTAATGCTGTTTTGTGACAAGCCAAGGCAGAGGTTCCTAACTCTTCTGGGTGAGGAAGCAGATAGGGGATTTTGAGAACAAGCATGGACATGCTCACAAAATGGCCATTATGGACTCTTTTTATAGACAGTTCTAACATGCATTTGGCATTCCTCTTCAGGTGTTATAATGCCTTGAGTTGCTACTAACTCTTGATTCCATAGATAAAGCCAATCACCTCAATTGGGCAAAAGGCTCCAGATGTTAGATGGGTGTTGCCAGCACTATAAGAATGTCTTTGGATGGAGACTGTGGATGATTCTGGTGTCACAGATGGTCACTTTCTCCATTAGACAGACCTACAGGAAGACAGTACCTCGGCCATGCTCCGGAAGATGGGATGATTGATGTCACAGGTGGTGTTCCTCACAGGGACCTCCTCAGCAGCAGGAACAGAGCGGCATTTAATGACCACAAATCTTCTGTTGGACTGAGAATAGGACATGATAATGAATACTACAGGTGATAGACAGCACCTTCTTTGGCCATCCCCCACCTCTTTCACTCTGATGTCTCTGATTTCCCTCTAATCTTCATACCTGCACTAGCACAAATCTGCGGTAGGACAGTGAAGATGGATAGAAGAAAGTCAGGTTGGTGCTGTAAGAATCTTCTCCATCATTCCGGATGAAAACAGTAGCGTTGAGTTCAGGGGTTAGGCCAACTACCAACTCGTTCAGGCTGAAGGTAAAAAGGAGATGGTCTCTTGTTTATCACCAGTACAAGAAGGCTTGAAGTACAATCCTGTTTGGAAGCCACTCCTTTAACCTAGAGAAACCTAGCTCAGATATACAGAGACTATCTAAAGAAGAAAAAGTATTATGAACATAGTTTACATGTTCAGCTTCTTTATTATGGTTTTATATATTCCAGAGAGAGTGTGGCAGTCAAAGAGTACTCAAAATTTGTCCAGTAAAGCTTGAAGAGATTTTATGAAGAGGGGCTCCAATGGACAATCACTAGGTAGCAACACAGAATCTTGGTTGACATCTGATGGTTGCCCAGATGGTAGTCCTTCCTTAATTAACCTATTACTTTGCATTGGTACTACTTGTTTTGCTGTCCCATCAGATAGAACAGTGTTTCTCAACCTCAGCAGCTTTAAGCTGTGTGGATTTATGGATGTGGTGAACACAGAGCAGTTTCTCAACCTTTGCAACTTGAAGATATGTGGACTTCAACTCCCAGAATTCCCCAGCCAGCATGC